CAACCAAAATGAATGACCATCTACTCTCGACGACCACTGTACTTTGGACACACATTTATGGATTTAAGTAACAGCAAAGTTCCCTTGGAGTCAATGTTGGATTTGACATGTTGACCTTCATTCACCATTTTGAAATTTCTGAAGGTTGTACTTGGGAGCTGATATAAAACACACACCGTGTGGGACAACAAATACCGCTTCTTTTCCTGACCTTGTTTCGCAGTCCAAATGAGAAAGTTGTGTCTTGTGTTTTCTGATCGCACCAGGATTGTCATCGTCTTACCCACTGTCACAATTGTCTCTTGAACAACACTAACATGTTTTAATAAAATACGAATAAGGAGTGGGTCTCATTAAGACCTTGGCTAAAACTGACAATATCAATAAATAAATTGGCACAATAGCAATTCTTTGATGATCTGAGAAATAGCCTAATGACGCATACGGACAACGACAACATCACGAGTATGCCTCTTCTATTGTAATGCCTCTGACAGTACCGGGCTGGCTAATGATTAACTGGATTCTCTGAACCACTGAGTTTGTAAATCGTTGGCTTCGATAAGAAATCATACACTCGCGCAGGACACTAGAGCTCCTGTATTATGTCTCCCCTTTTCTCGTTCTGAGATAAGGCTGTGAAAGCACGTGAAGTCGCGGAGCACACTCTTGCTGAAAAAAATTGTCACCATGCATTTTCGTGGTTTGCAAAAAAATATATATAATTTTGTTGATTCATATCAGCAATGATGAAAGAAGAAAGAACAGCACAAATCTCCGGATATATTGTACCCTATGTAGCCAGAAAACACCACTCATGCAATGACTTGGCAAGGCAGCGGTATTTGGCACTACTACACGTGGCTTGCCGACCGCTACATTTGGCAAGAGGCGCCAGAAATCCTTGCAGCTTTGCATGCAAAACTCAAGCTCAACCCTGAATTGAGAAGCCCCGATGTTTGTTGCGCCGTTGGCTCGCTCAAGTCTTTGCATGCCTGCGCTCTCCCCACCACCTACACAGCACGTGTGCAACTGTTTTGTGTACACATGAGTGGCATTCTAGACTGGAACGGGGGGGTAGGCCGTGATATGCCCTTACCTTGACCCTGAAGAGAGACACTGTTTGATAAAGATAAGTCTTGCCTTACTGCTGTGTCGTTGATCTTAGGGCCAGCCGACTAAGTGGGGGAATGCGCTGCATTCATTCAATCAGGCAAGGACGGAGGTAAAATGCAGTAGCCTCGCCTTCGATATTCCCTAATGTCAGCTTTGCGTTCCTGTGGTGTTGGCATGAGGATCTCAATAAGAAAGTGACAGCATCATTTCTTTCTTGATACCACCCCGTTGCAAAGTTTCATGGTAATCAGCGGTGAATGAATGAATGAATTCTGATGATAAATCATGCATGTGACAAATGCAGTAGAAGCACAAATAAACTTCACCCTACGCAGATGTGGATTTAAAATCCTCCTTTGGCTGAGGTAATAAATGCAGGACTCAGATCCGAATCAAAATTTAAGAGTATGTGGACCATAATATCCATCCATCTATTACCTGATCCGCTTAACCTCACAAGGATCGCGGGCGTGTCGGACTATCCCAGCTGTCTTTGGGCAGTAGACGGGGTACACCCTGAAGCGGTTGCCAACCAATGGCAGGGCGCACAGAGACAAACAACCATCCGTGCTCACAATCACACCTACGGACAATTTGGAGTGCCCAATCAACCTGCCGTGCTTGTTTTTGGAATGTGGGAGGAAACCGGAGTGCCCAGAGAAAACGCACGCAGGCACAGGGAGAACATGCAAACTCCACACAGGAAGACCGGAGCCGGGATCGAACCCTGCACCTCTGCACCGTGAGGCCGTAGTGCTAACCAGTCGACCACCGTGCCCATAATAATCAAGTAAATACGTCTTACGTCACATAGTCGTAGAGGCAGTTTTTAAGGAGCCCGCATTGATGAGCATCAATGTTAAGCAGAAGGGATGTTTTACTCAACGACTGGCAGGCAAACGACTGGCAGGCAATCGCCTGCGTGGATAAAAGGGGAGGAGCATGAGCTCAAGGTTAGTCTGCAGCAAGAAAGGAAAAAAAAAGAGAGGGATAACGATAGAAGAGGAGTCACACAAAGGAGAATCACCCAAGAGGATGATGAGAGGTTACTGAGTGCACACTTCTCTCGAGTCCCGTGCTCTATTCCCTCATGTGGCAGAAATGAATGTGAAAAATCTCTGCTGCTCGACCAGAAGCCTGAACTTATCCATCGTCCATTACCATCAATCACGCCGCATTCCCGTCATCTTGTGGGACCCGCAAGCTCTGCTTTGCGCTCTCTATTCCCAAAATTACATCTCCAGTTACTATGCACGGCTGTACAAAAGCTATTCGGATATAGCTTCTCTCTTTATGACATAAGAAACGAGTTCCTGAGTATGGTGACCGAATTATTCATGAAAAGCTTCCACAGGTTTTCAGTTTTGTTTCATGGTGCATTTGAGCGTGTTTAACTTTACCGGAGAGTAAAATTTGGCAATCTTTTGGGCCTACTTAACTTTTAGAATGCTTTCCTGCACGTGTGAGACGGCATCCAAAAGGGTTTCGATGACCTCTGTTCCAGCCTACATTCACAGTGCCACAGCCTCGATCAATGGACTCGTCTCCGCCATTCTGCTGAGCTACGGAAAATGACGGTGCACTGGGAAATGAGAACAACAGTTTCGATCAGGGGATATACTGGAGCGGTTATTCTAGGGATCATATCAAACCTGAAACTGCTAATGTGAAAGTATCACAACCTTTTAAACAGAGCTTAATTGGAATGAATAATACTGCATGTTCCTCTGTCATCATTGCCAGCATATGGCAATGGCATATTCTGAAGTTAAAGGCGTACGAATGGCTCAAGGATGCATTCGAAAGGCCCAACACAAGAAAAGGAACAGCAGAGATTATATGAATAACTATCTGGCACTGCTAATCAAAACCGACTATTATTGGCCAGATTTGTGCAAGTGCACTTGAGGGTACACACTTTGTACATCACCGGCTGAGACAGTCAAGCAAAGGCTAATATTTACGCCAATACCTTTTTTTTCCATCCATTCATATACTCCTAATAAATCCTCCAACTTGAGCAGAAGGATTATGCTTTTAATGCTTTGTCAGCTCGGAGAACATTTTAAACTCTCAAGTGACTCTCCATACGAGCGATTATGTCTTCCAGAGGCCCAAAGAGCTTAACGGACCTGTTGCAGATGGCCATGTTCCCCGGAGCCAAACGTTTCTCCATTTACAGTACCGCAGCATGGATCAATGGACCAGTCGCTTCCATTCTGCTGAGCCGCGGAAAACTATTAAGGCGATGTGTGATCATAGGTGTGTGTGTGTCTGTGTGTGAGAAGCAGTGCTCTTTAAGAATGAATGTTGTCCTGCTATATACACACACATACACACACACATTATGTATATATATATATATATATATATACACTATATATCTGGCAATACGGAGAAAGGAGAAAATGTCAGGGCACTACCAACCTGTAATTAACTTACTGAGTGGGTTTGAAAACAAAGACAAGACACCCGCTGAGAGAAGAGCAATGGGTCATTGTCAGGACCCACTGAGGTTTGGAACAGGGGGTTGCATTCCATCATAACGCTTGAATATGCTCTAAACATGGTTAGCATTTAAAAGAGGGCAATGAGTGTACAGATATACTACTTTCATGGGACTTGTTTTTTACATTCGTTGCCCACATCAGGTCGACCTGCATGATTCAAATGTGATGTCAGTGGTGGAACCTAACTACGTACAAATACTTTATGACGGTACTTCAATAGGTTTTCGGCTAAATGGACTTGCACGTTAGTGTAATGTTTTTCCAACAACCTTTTATGACATACATTTACAGGGACAGCAGCGACAAACCACAGACAATGACTGCAACAGGTTTGGAGAAACAAGATATTCCCCATCGGTGACCCATTTAAGATCATTGTTTTAGATGATAACGTCGACAATAATGATTTGTGGCGAATGCGTTATATTGTGCCAGCCTGGCATTCTTCTGCCATTCAAAAAAAAAATATCAGAAAAAAAAATAAAACTTGTGCATTACTAACGTATTTTTTTGCCTTTTTATCATGAGTTAATTTCGCATTTTTTGTCACTTGGTTCACGTTGGCAAGCTATGGGAATAAGTTGTTGACGTAATAATTTTACTTTTGACTCTAATACATTTCAAAGTCTGCAATTTTTGTTTACTTTTACTCCAGCGCAGGAGTTGAATCGGTACTTGAACTTTCTTCTACTTCTACTGAAGTGCAGAATGTGAGTACTTTTGCCACTTCTAGATTTTATGGCACATCTATGTGGCTGAACGGGGTCATCGAAATATTGGCATCATGGAGCGCAACTTAGCTCCACTGCAAACGACAAAAAAAATATATACATACTATTACAGTACCGTATGGTTAGAGCATGTCACATTCCATTCGATCGTGCAGGTAACCGTTAAGTGTAAAGTCTATTGCGTCATATGCCAATTTTATCTTTTTTTTTTTGCATTCAAGTGAGTTTATAATCTGTAATCAGACTCTTGACATCCCTGCAGAGAAACACGCACCAAGTTGCGCGCGTTTAACTCCGCTTTCCGAGTACATTACACAAAGTAAACATGCATCGAATTGTTGTCCACAAACTGGATTTTCGTGGCGCTTCTTCGTACTTTTTGTAACCAAACAAAAGACTGCACAAAATAGTGCGTTTTTTGCAAGTTGCGCTCCCCAGTCATCAATCGAATCCAAAGGGGCTCCATACTCGGCAGTCCACGTTAGGTTCCTTGCCTCACGCTTGGAAGCAAGTACACCTCCTACCACCGCCCTCTGGCTCATTATTTGCCCGAGAAAAAAAGCGCCATGTTGCGGCTCCAGTGGCGTCTGGAGTCGCCCTGTCTCGGGACGAGACGTTGCACATGCACGCGTTCCGTTCTTACCTTCGCGATGGCCCTTTTGTACCTCATGGCCGCTTGTTCGACGAGGCTGGTGACTTTCATATTTCCATCCCCGCACGGGACAACCACCCGCGTCCGTCCGAAACACACAGTCACCTTCATGTCCTCACGTTAATTCCAAAGAGGAAAAAGACGACGCGTCAAAGGGACGCAAACCATCCCTGACGGCGTTGGGGAAGCGTCAAAAATCCCCCGCTGCTTGTGGAAGAACAGCTCGTTTTGAAGTGCGTGGAGAAGTCCAAGCTATGAGATCCAGTGGCTGCTGTGACCGGCTGACTGGGTGGCGTCCTCCTCTCTTCGTGTTGACTCACTTCAGAGAAACTTCCCAGCCGAGCGGCTTCTCAGCGGGGAGCGTACAGCTGACATGACGCTGCGAGGGTCGCCCCACATGTTGGAGCAGGCACCAGGAATGTCTCCTGCGCGCAACCAGCAGGGCTGGCAAAAGTACTCGCGCTCTCGACTTAACTCTTTAACAACCAATACAAGCTTGCATTAAATGTCCTCTGGCCAGTTACAGGTACCGAACAGGGGCGTCACTAGACCTGTTATCGGGAGTACCCCCCCCCCAACCCCGGCCTCACTAAATCATGTTTTTAAATTGAAAAAGTATATTTTTTTTACCTCAAAAGTGTCGCCAAATTCAAGAAAAAGATGTCCAGAATATCAGTGTGAAAAAATACATGCAACCTGCTTCTTTTTTTTTTTTTTTACTTCAATACAGGATGATCAGAAATCTGTCAGTTTACCTTTAGTTCATCGTGTGGCAGCCCCGGTGCGTTGTAATCCAATGCTCCACTTGCATATTGGGGATGCCCTTATTCCGTGAAATCCAGTCCATGGTTTGCTCGTCACCTTGCTTGTACTTAGTACCTGCGGCTCTGCAGGGCTCAGCCAATAACAATAATCATAATCAAGCAACAGCAAAGTGAAAACAGTGAATGGAAGGATGGATATACAGAGTTTTCAAGAAAGTACGCAAATCTGCTAGCTAACATTGGCTCTACAGCACACTGCAAATTTCACCGTCAAAAGAACACATCTGTGTTATTAATAAGTGCAACAGAAAAGTTGAATAATTCAAAGGTAACATCATTTTGTTTGACATTGCAGTTTCGTTGTCATGATACACCTACTGGTTCTTATAATGACTATGAAAGACTAAAAATGTTGTATATCAGTTGGAGCATTGCCCAGGTGGTATAGCGGTAGCCGCCCTTTGAGTATCGCAGGTGCTACACAAGTTGACTGTTTTCATATTTCAGATAGATTGGTGGTGAGGGGTGACATATCTGCATTGTCTGATTTCAGGGTGAAAAAAAAAAATATCACAGTTTTAACAGGTATTTTACTGGTTATTGTTGTAATATAAGCTATGGGGTATGCTGCAGTTTTTAAACCATGATGCAGAGTAAAATCAGCCCCAGGGCTGAGATGCAGTGTGACCTAATTCACCATTGAAATCATGAATCCCTACTCTGGCTTCCTTCTTCCAAGTCTTTGTGATAGTGCAGTGTGTAAGAAAAATCTCTTTCCATTTTAACTACAAATAATAAAGAAGAAGAGGTTATCTCCAAAGAAAATTATAAATAACTGGAAAAAAGTTTAAAAAAAAAAACAACAAATGAAAACCTGAAAAATATTGGCAAAACAGTGAACGGATGTTTAAATCTTACAGGATAATCCCAACCCATGCAATAACAAATCCTAACATTTCAGTAGGTATGATATATTTACAACCTCATTATAATACTCTTTACACAAAAACAGAGAATACGTGTTGGCAAGCAGATAAATAGTGAATAGTACACACTTGTGCTGATGTTCTTTTCAAAATGATGAAATTAAAATTAGCCTGATGAATGTCGAACAACTAAAACAGTACTAGAAATGAAAACACATTTGGTCAAAGGCTGAATTCAATCCTTTTTACGGACAGACTTGACTGAAAAGCTATGAGAGGAATGCATCAAGATGGTAAACATCCATCAAGGCCGAGTTCAGACCCAGACTGTGCAAAAAAATTGGTCCTCAAATGTTTCTGGAAAATCAGTCAGATTGCATTTCTATGCACACTGCGCTGAGTTTTAGGGGTACACGCTGGGAACAAGAAATTATAGCAGGACAAGCTGGATGGCTTTGATGAATCTAAAAGTCAGTAAAATCCGATTGCCTCTTTAAAATACGGTGCAACAAAAGCTATTCCAGGCCGCTTGCATTATCGGGCATGTTTGGGCAGCACCTTTTGGGGATTAACTCACACTTCTCCCATGAGAAGGAAAACTGATTCAGGTGAGTGCCTCAACCCGTTTGCTCTATTTTTTTATTGAACATCCCATTCCCCTCCTTTGGGTACTGTCCATGAATGTGTGTGTTTGTGTGTCCGCTTTATCTCACCCTGCAACCCTAAAAATTGCATGGATGTCATCTGTACTGACTGTACAGTATTTTTAAAAAAGGAGCAAATAATAATAGTTATAATTATAAAGTCTCCCTTCTTGACCATCATCCTGTATTTTGAAGTTTGGCAGCGCTTCTTATATATAAATAAATAAATATAAAATGAGCGTGGTACCTGCTGGAGCTAAAAAGCATAACATCACATTTCGCTGAGAGATGAATCCTTGCTTTCCTAAAATCCATCCCTTAATTTAACTTGTTGGAGGATGGAGGAGGGTTACAGCTTCAGAGTTTAGGATTGTGTGATTCCTTTTTTTTTTTTCAACTGCTGTTCTGTATCCATACTCTGCAATATGTTAACATGGCACATCACAACCGTGTCCATCTATTTTCTGGACTGTTTATATACTGCTAAAAAAAAAATAAATAAAGGGAACGCTTCAACAGCACAATGGAACTCCAAGAGTTCCCTTTATTTTTTTTCGTACCAAATACAACCGTATGCATTTATAAGACACTGAGATGTTCTTTTATGACACCCCCTGGAGCTCTGGCACAATAAAAGCCGAGTCTAGACAGGCTCCCATATATGGACAAGTCGTAATGACAGAAACGTGTGGTAGTGAAATAAACTCATTGAGCAAAAGTTTAAATAAAAGCCTCGTGAATTCATTTTATTTAATTGACAAGCAGTAAGATCATGTTTGTCCTTTTTTTACATCTGAAAGTAAATACAATAGTCAGTATACCGCTTTTATTACAGAATTTTTCCTAATCCGAACATTAAAAAAAAAACGCGCGCGCGCACGCACACACGCACTCACACACACACACGCACACACAAGAACTGCAAACATGAGAAAAGAAAGCCTGTTTTTAAAATGTGTAGCAATCAATGCACCACTGATGCCCCGACTTGCTTTTCAATCCATTATTTTATTTTCAGTCACTTCGGAGGCCCTTCTGCTCTTTCCTCACCAATAACCACAATACACAGGCATTCTCTTTGAGTCGTCATACGCGCACATGATGCACGTGGCACTGGTGATCTTGTAAACAGCTTAAAATCAGACGTTGGGTGGAGTGTGGGGAAATTGTCTTGGCTTTCCAAGCCTGCTTTAGTCACCATGTTTGGCTACCAGCAGATGGCGACAGCCCACCCGCAAAAAAAAAAAAAAAAAAAAAACGGATGTGTGAGTCTGTCATGTGGTTTGTTTTCGGTTTTAAAACCCGTATGGGCCACAGTCACAAAGGTGGGGTTTTCTGCGGCTCTCCGACTCCATCGCTAAGCGATATAGCTGTACTCATCCGCAGAGGTTTGGCTTCGCTCGATGTACTGCTTGTCGATGAGCACTTCTATGCACTTCTTGATCATACTGATACTGGGGTTGAACCTGGCTTTGGACTGATTGATGACCTATACGTGAGAACCAGAATTCTTTTGTTTCCAACAGACCGCACAGGAACATTGCCGCGACCAAGCGACTTACTCGTACAGCAAATTTGACGACGTTACGACAGTGTAAAACCAACCTACCTCTTGTATGAGGGCATTGTGTCTGAGCACCTTGCGGGCCTTCATGATTCTCACTAGAGCAGCTTGTAAATACATTTTGCGGTCCTCGTCTACAGCACTCCGAGTCTGCTCCATCTCCTACACGGCAAGGATACGGACGAAAAAAAAAAAGTTGCATCCCTTTTTTTCATCGTAGTTAAAGATGCTGTTGTAGGGCTTTCAATGAGCGTCTAACCTGCGGGGTGTCCTTCTGCATTGAAGTTGTGATCTTGAACTTGGTCCTTTTACTGACAAAGGACATATTCAGTGAAAACGTGGATTCAGCATCAATCTCCTCCTGTTGGCAGAAAGAATGACATGGACACAGTGCAACTGTTTATTATTTGTTCAGTCTGAATTATGATGCTATATTTAAAAAAAAAGGTTTTAGTACTGCTTTGGCACCATTTGAAAAATCTGTTTTTGCATAGTAGCTTGACTTTCTCACACCTTTTCTGAGTTGTGGTTGAGCATCTTCACGTCGAAAAGGGACTTGATGGTCTTCTGTAGCTCCTTCTCGTTCATTTGGGTACCATCCTGCAGCTCCTTGTATGTCACCGTCTGACTGTTGTTGAACGCGAGGAGCACGGCCATCTGATAGGTGGTCACCATGGCGACGTAGGGCTTGGACAAGTAGTTCATCTTCACTTCGCCTGATAATGGTCAGTAAAGAGATAACCGGCATGAATCTAACAACAGTGATGATTACTTTTCATTTGTTTTGTTTAAAAAAACTTGCCGGTCGAAATAGATCTTTGTCATTCATCATCTACTGTGACATCGGACTTTTAAAGGGGACATGGAGGAATCGTGACTTGGGAATTTCACGTGTGCATTTACGTTACCTGTGCAGAGGTAGTGTAGCCAAGTCAGTTTCCTCCCACTGAAGTGCTGATTATAGAACAATTCAAACTGTGGGCGAAAAGGGAACCCGGGATTATTTAACAACAGCGATGTTCTTAGACAGCTCCATTAAAACAATTTACCATCTGGACGCTCTTCTCCAGTTCTTGTGGGATGGCGAATGTGGAAGATGGGATGTGCGTGAGTGGCCACGCTCCAGCCTGCAAACACATGTGTTAGACACTCGGGCGAGACAAAGGCTGGAAATGTTTTCCGCCGCTATTCCAGCACTGCAGTTTCACATCTAACTTCAATCTCCAAACAACAGGGGGAATAGGACTGCTAAAAATGTTGCTGAGCACTTCACTGACACTCTGTACTCAATTGAATTAACAGTCCCTTGGAGATTTACATCATCGAAGGGACAGAAGCGAACTATTTTCGACATCAAACCAGAGGCTGACAATGACTTGGTCATGCATCAAATTCAAATCTATTTTTATTTTGTATTTTTTGGGGGGGGGTGAAAGTAACATTCTGCCTCGCTGGGCTCTGTAATAAACGCCGGGTCTACTGATAAGGTTCTCAAAGTTTGCGGAAACTGCGTTTCAAAGGTTAAAAGCAAGGCACCTGGCACATTGCACGCAT